GGGCGCGCCATCTCGTGTGCCTGATCGGGGGAACCCCAGGCGGACGACCCCCGCGGCGACCAGCCCCCGCCGCTGCTGCCGCTGTCCCCGCCATGCTCACTGCCGCTACCGCCGCCGCCGCCGCTGCGGCGACGGCTGCCCCAGCCGCCCGGGCCGAAGCTGTCGGGGCTGCGCGCGGTCGTGCTGGCCGCGCGCCCGCTGCGCTGCGGCTCGGCGCTGCTGCTGCCAGAGATGCCCGGGGTCCAACCGCTTTCGCTGGCCGCCGCCGCCTGCAGCTGCGGGGACGCCGCGCGGGGCTCTTGGCGATGCGCGCCGCCGCCCAGCCACACGGACGGCGCGGCGGGCGAGGGGGGCCCGCTGGCGGCACCCTGAGACTCGCTGTCGCTCAGCAAGACCCTGGCGCGGCCTGCGCGCTGGCGCGTGGCGGTGGTCGGGCGCCAGCTGTCCGGGGAATCCCCTCCATTCATCGCCCGAGGCGGAGGCGATGTGCAGCTCGCCGGCTGCTGCTGCTGCGGCGGCAATGGCGGCTGCAGGGGCTGCCGAGTCAGGCTCTCGCTCGAGCGCTCGCGACCGCACCCGTCGCCGCCCGCGCCCAAGCGCCACGCGCCGCCGCCGCGGGTGCGCTGCCCCTCCCCCTGCTCAGGGCTAGGGCTGGGGCTGCTGAGCAGGCCCATGCTGCCGACGCTCGACCCACTGGCGCTGCAGCAATCGTCCTCGCCGCCGCTGCCCGGGTCGCCAAACAGGCCCGAGCGGTAGCCGCCGCGGCGCGGCGGCTTGGTGGTGGTGCGGAGCCACGGGGTGTAGGGGTCGAGGATCGTCGCGCGCGGCGTCGGGCCCGGCGTCGCTAGGACCAAGCCCATGGCGGGGGTGGCGGGCGGCCCCGGCGCGCTGCTCGCGGCGGCCGGCGACGCGGGCGCCACAAGCGGCAGATGAGGCCGGTCGACGCCCTCGGCTACTGCCGGCACCGTCCTGCGCCGGGCGCTGTCGGGCATCGATGTTGGGGTTGCATCGGCGTCGAGGGCTGAGTGCGGTGATGGCGCCTCCTGCACCTGCGCAGGAGAACCAGACTGCCACGGCAGCCGGTGCTGCTGGTTCTGCTGCTGCTGCTGCTCCTCTTCAGTATGCTGGACATCCGCTGCTGCTCGCGACCACCCCATTCTGCGGCCGCTGTCATTGCTGCGGTCGCTCCCGCCGGGCGACCGCCGGGCGGGTGACGTGGCGGGTGACGTGGCAGGTAACATGGCACGTGGCGCGGAGGGCGACGCGGCAGGTGACGCCGCGGGTGACACGACGCGCGACGCGGCAGGTGGCGCCGCAGGTGACGCGACGGGCGACGCGGCAGGGGATGGGCTGTACCAAACGTCCGGGGTCGCCCGCCCAGATTTGCTTGACCCCCTGCTCTTGAGCCTGGCGCTGACCTCGCTGCTGGTGCTGCTGCTGCGTCCTGCGCTGCCTGTGCCGCCGCCTCCACCGCTGCTCGCAGGGCGGGGCGACCAGTCGGGGCTTGCAGGGGCCAGGCCAGCCGATGAGGCCCAAGGCTTGAAGAGTGCAGGTGCCGGTTGCTGCTGCTGCTGCTGCTGCCGCTGCTGCTGCTGCTGCTGTTGATGCTGCTGCTTGAAGATCGTGACTTGTGGGCTGACACAGTTGCCATTCTGCACCTGCACCACCTGCAGCGGGGCGCGCGGCAGCGCCGGGGTGCCCCACGGTGCAGCAGCGCCGAGGGTCGGGGGCGTCGCGGCGCGATGCGCGCAAAACGCGCCGCTGAGCCGGCGAGCGAGCATGGCGTCTTCTTGGGGCGGCGACTCGGCGTCTGCGAGCGCTTTGGCCCTCCGCCTAGGTCGGGAGCGCGTGAACGTCAGGGGCGCCGCGGCAGCGTCGTCTTCGCTGCTTGCGCTGCTGTGGATCTCCCAAGTCGACATAGCTTGTGGCGCCGCCCCCGTCCGCCCGTGGTCACGGGCAGCCTTAAAAAAGCCCTTTGAGATGATAGAGTAGTGTAGAGCGGGGGAGGGAGGAATCCGAGCCGGTTTTTGCTCCGCAATTCAAAACTGCATGTCAGATCTAACACACGGACAGCGAAGAGGTTCGCATAGTGATGAGATGGATAAAATCTAAGTATTAAGTACCACCCAATGCCATGTTGAGCACTCGACTTGAGCAAGCCCACCAAACGTGACTCACCCTGGCCACCTCCTATTTTGAGTCTTGGCAGCTGCCACCATGGGTGCTGTATTGCTGGCCAGCTGCTGGCCACCATTGCGCAACACCGGAAGTACTCACACTCTTGATGGGTGGATGCCCTTGGCAAGCGCGGCAGACAGCTGCATGGACAACAAAGGCGAAACTGCTGACAGCTGCGCAAGCACAGGCACTGCCAACAGCTGCAAATGCACGCCCCGCGACCGCACACACGCACCATAGCTGCATCGACAAAGTAAAATGGACGGGCAGAAGACACCCCATGGACGCGGTGCGGTCTGTCCAAAGCCGCAGGCTGGCGGTTTTTACAGCGACAGCGTGGAGCAGGAGAGGCTGCATGCCTGCAAGTTGGGACCCATCGTGTTGAAAAAGAACGCCCGACAGAAGCAGAGGCGACAGGGGCACAAGTACCTCACAATGACCAGGGAAGAGCGCGACGACAATGTGCAAACAACAGTGGGTGTCAGCAAACAACAAGCAATCACAGCAGTCAAGGCCGCAGTGCGACCAGCATCACTTGTCTGTCAAGATCAGCTCGCTCAGCTTCCAGTCCTCATAACTGCAGGTTGATGAGGGACGATAGAAGTTGAGGGGCGAGGCGGGGTCGCTCAGCGAAGGCGTTAACATATTGTGCTGCTGCTGGCCGCAACGGGGCTCATCCCAGGCATTGATTAGCAGGCGAGGGCGCCGAAGCCACCCAGCCGTGCGCGCTGAATGCAAGCTCCAAGGGGCTGCCACCCCACTCCAGCCCCCTCGCTTCCCGGGCCGCTGCTCCGGCGCCTGCCCACCTGCCGTCGGGCAGGTATCTGCGGATGGTGAAAGGGATCTTCTTCTCCTTGAGCTCCTTCATGGCGATCTGAGGGTGCAGTGGGCCGATCCATGCAAGGCCCGGCGGGCGTGTAGAGGTTGGCGTCACACCAGGGGTGACAAACAAGGCCAAGCGGGACAGGTGTAGGAGGTTGCACCTGGCGCAGAGCCCCCTGCTGCTCTACACGCGGCGTGCCGCTTCCGCCGTGCTCGCTGCTTTGGTCTGCGCCGCCATTTGCGCCCGCTGAGTTGAACTGAACTCCCAGCTGCTGCGTCCCGCTGATCCTGGACCGCCGCCGCCGCTCCATTATCGCCGCCGCTCCAACCCGGTCCCCACAGAACGCCCTCAACACACACCTCTAGTGGGTCTGTCTCGTCCCCCGCATCCACCATGATGGGGGCGTTCATGCTGCAGTCACAAGACAATGTAGAGGGAGGAATTCAGGCACGGCATGGCGGAGAGGAGCTTGTTTGAGGAGCCGTGTGCTGTGGCAAGGGCCCTGTTGTGCCACGCTGCTGACGAATGCATGCTCATGGGGTGCTGCCAGGGGGTTTTTCAATGGCAGGTCCCAGCCTGCACCGCCTCGCGGCACAAGATTCGCAGCCGCTGCAATGACACTCCGCGGCTGCCCTCTCCCTGAAGCCATGCTTGCGTCCGCGGTCCCCTGCGCGCCCGCAGTCAGTCCCCGCGGCCGGTCCCCGCGATTGGTTCCCGCATGTTGCATCAGATGCCACTCGCCTGATCTGCAGCGCCCGTGTGCCGAGCACGCGGGCGCGCTCGTACTTCGTCAAGTATCGGGTTGTAATCCGCTCCCGCCGCAGCTGCCCCTCGCCGCCGCCCTCGCCCTCGCCGCCGAGTTCATGATCGAAAACATCCGCATGCTCTCCCTCACCATCCTGCTGGGCGTCAGGATCTATTTCCTCGCCTTCGGGCTGCCAATATAGAGGGTTGCAGGGCGCGACGCGTCAGCGCGTGCGTTATGACGGGCAGCAGCATCAAAGCAGCGGCTGGCACGTGCGCCTCCTTGCCAGCGGCGGCCGCATCAAGCTGCCGACACGAACGCACCTCGGCGCCAAAGTCCACTGGCTCGTCGGCGTCATCTCCACCGTCGTATCTGCGATGCCCGCAAGCCGATGCTTGTAATGAAAGCAGTCCCGAGCGGTGATCTACTCGTTCCACCACGACCCCGAAAACGACACACTCACCCGCCACCGCCATCTTCATAGTCTGCCATAGATGCTGCTTTTGCTGCTGGTGCGATATGCTACGATCTGTCTGGTTTGTGCAGCACCGAGGAGCCAAAACAGCACCGCTCGCTGTATTATATGCCGTACAATGCGACCACTTGCGTTGTGGCTAGCAAGAACAGTTGCCGAGTGTTTCCTGCCTCACTGGGCAGCGCCACAATTCTGGTGTAACCTGGTGTGGCCACCAGACAGCCTGGGTGCCGCCAGCCAGGCCGCTAAGCTCGTGTACTGTATGCAGGGGCAAGCACGTGCTTACAAATGTCGTTAGAGTTCCCGACTGGGGCCAAGTTCCATGCACTAGCACGCTTCATCAGTGTACTGCGTGCACGATTGACTAAAGTTGACTTGACTGGCTTCGCATTGCTCACTGCCGCCCGCCAGGGCCAGTTCCCGCAACGCTGAGATATGGCTAACCCCCATGTTGGGTGCCTTCACAAAGTGCATGCTGCCGATCACAGCAAACGTCAATCATTTGAAGTTTACAAGCAAACCAGCTTGAGTTGATACCAAGCCTGAAGGTTGCTGTGAAGCAGGCAGCTTTTGCTTGCAACAAACGGAACGAATTGAACTGTGTCAAACGTGCGAAAGGGCGCACATGGCGCCCCGGCAATGGAGGGTGTGTGCCTCAGCGGCGAGCCGCACCCGCGCACCTATGGGCCTGGCCCCGCCTCAGCAAAAGCGGTGCAGGGCCCGCGGGGTTTATTTCTATGCCCATCCTTTTCGTCGTGGCGACCAGAAGAGACGCGCGGTACAGTCTGAACCAACACGAGCAACACCCGGCAGTGCATGGGAAATGCCACCCTGGGCATTGAGTCAGCCAGAAGCTGTGGGCGGGTGCGCAGCTCGACGGCCTGCATTCCCTTAAATCCGCCGACTCGAACGGTGGGCCCTCTAGTGCCCGCGCGCGCCCGCGCTGTGCCTGCCGCCGTTGCCGCGGTATGAGGTGTAGCCCATCCAGCCCATGCCCAGGTTACTGGGGGCGCGCAGGGGCTTCACGCCATCATCGGGGGTGGGGCCCCTGGAAATGGTGCGTGAACAACAGGGCGCAGCGTCATGGCGTGAGAACGCGAGCGCTTGTTACAGAGGACTGCACAACACATACCTTTGTTAAATGGCTAGCTGGCATTGCTTTTGACATTTAGCACCCTAGGAGTGGTGTTTGAGCAAGAGCATGAGGCGCTCCCCTGCGCGGCAGGCGCACCAGTGAACTCGAAAATTCGCCCCCTCAAGCGCTGCTCTGAACTTGACCCTCTCCTGACCCCCTGGACCCGGCGCGTCACTCACCAATTGACCGTAAACAGGGGCTTGCCGCCAGCAGGCTCAGGAGCAGCTGGCGCGGGTGCCTGCAGCTGCTGTGCAGGGGCGGCGGGCGCGGCGGCCTGCCCCCAGCCGTCGGCTCCCTTGCCCAGAAGCGGAAAGCCGAAGATGCTGAAAACGTCTGTGGCGCCGCCGTCATTGGCATCCAAGAGCCTGCGGGGAAAGCCGCGCTGGGGCGCCGCGCTGCGGCCCTGCCGATAGCCAATCAACGCCGCCTCGCCGGTGGCCCCCAAAACTGCGCAAGGGCAGTGCGGGAATTGACAGATAGAGGGGCAAGAGCCGTCAGGAGCTGCATGGCTTGGGAAATCCAGGATCATGATTGGATGGGGGTGTCACTCTGTTTGCGTTTGAGGACTGCAGGACCATGGCGCCGCACTGCTGTAGTAAGTGAAGGGCCCCACAAAGCTTTGTGAAGCCATCATTTGGGGGGGGGGGAGCGGGTTGCTTGTCTGTCACTCCCTAGCACAACACTGCGTCTGTGCTGTTAATTGCGCAACGCCAAGCAACGCCTCACCTGACACGGTCAACATGGCGATGAGCGCCATTGCCAAGCCATTTTCAAGTCTGAACGTCATCTTGTCGGGTTCTTGGTCGGCCGGTAGGTAAGAAATGACCGCAAAACTGTGCGCGGACGGGTGCGTTAAATTTTGGCGGCCACGAGGGTTGCATGTGGATGCCGCATTTAGTTTGTGTCCACACGTATTTGAAACATTCCTTGAAGAAGGAGGAAGCCGTGCTGGAGCTGGACAGGCGGGGGTTTCGGCGGCCGTAGGTGTGCGGCAGTAACTTCGACAAACCCTCTGTCGAGTTTCCGTCAGCTCCCTGGGCCCTCACTCTCACCAGAAAGACAACAGGACCTGATCAATTGGCACTGCAACTACAACAAGAACTCTCTGCCACTCATTGCGTGTTCAGCCAGTTTGAGTTTCGCACACAATGCTGATGTTGTCGGGATTGTGCGTAGAGGATAGGTTTGCATCCCCGCCCAAGTTTTGTGGCCTGTCTTCGCTGACGCCCTCTGCTTATGTGTACCCCGAATTCAAGCAAAATCTGCTGGCTCCTGTAATCTCAAGGTCTACAGCAGTACTGACCCGTTGACATTGGAACATTTCTGGGATAAGTGCGCCCAGCTTCACATGCTGTGGGCGCAGGCTTGTCTGGGCTTGCATTTGTCCTTGAAAACGAGGCTGCAGAATTTTGTGGCATGCTGCTTTGCAGTGGCTATTGTGGACATGACGAGCTGGGGATTACACACGCGCATGTGGACCGCAGATGTGCGTGCAAGACAATGCACAACAGCGCTTGCTCGCCTTATCTGGCAGGTTCGTTTGTCGCTGTCGCACTCCAAGCCGACCCATCCATGACACGCGCCCGTGTGGCGCACATGCAGCCGCCAGGCTTTTTGAAACAGAGAGCACATCTGCACGCGCTCAAGGTTCGTGTGCGTTGCTAACCACGCCGATTGCCGGGGCGGATGCCCGTGCCCATCCATCCAAAGCTTTGCGGCGAAAGCACGGCCGGGCCGCTGCTGCCAGCCGCACCAATGTCCGCCCGCGCCGCAGAAGGCGCAGACCTGAATAATGACGCCGGCTGAGCGTCAGCCACGGGGGCCGGGCTGCCCCGCAGCTGGGCCGAGCTGCTGGCGACGGGCTGGCTTCCAGCCGGGCCCCAGGTGATGAGGGGTTTCGCAAACAGCTGAGGGCCCCAATTAAAAGGGTCCCAGCCGCCGGCGTTGCCAGGGTGCTGCAGGAGCACGCGGGACCTCGCGAGGCCGGTCTGGATCTTGGGCTGTGCCGTCGCGACAGGCCGCGCCTCACTCGTGGTGCACAGGGCTTTGAAGGGGTGCATTTCGGGGGGGGGGGGGGGGGGTTTTT